CAGTAATTTCTCCATTCTTTCTAAAAGTTTACTTCTGCTATAACTCACTTGCATTGCACTTATTCTCGTAGCCTGTTGTATTGACTGTTTTATTTTATATGAATTTTTCATTATGGTAGTCACAGTGGAAGGAGGCAATTTCATACTTTTGCACACATTACGATGGGTATCACCACCTTATATTCAACGAATTATGTCCATCTTATCTTCTAGCGCAATAGACCTACGCAACTTTTTAGCAACACATTCATTTCTCTTACCAGACATGGCGGCTCTTCTACATTTATAAATATAAAACAGTTCCTACTGCAGAATAGTGGTCAACAACAGCACAAACACGTTTAGCACACAGTTTTCAGCACATTCAATGTGTCAACAAGAAGTGAACTGAGCACATTTTTCCTTACTCCCTTATCAGGCTGAATGCAAATGATTCACCATGAAGAGTGACCAATGATCATGCGACTGTTGCGCAATGTTGGCAGATTTTTTGGAGATTATCTCGCAACTACTTAGCAATGAGTGCAGAGGTGAATGAATTTATAATTTTTATTCAAAATCAGCGATGTAAGAATTACGATTTAGTATAAGAATCAGTACGAGAAACATTGTAAAACGTTAAAAATAATAGTATAATATATTTTTTTCACTTTTTGACTTGCTGGTTTCAAAAGCGGCGTTATTCTGAATCGGCACAAATCGAGGTTTACCTGTATACACTGTGTAACAGTTCTGGCAGGTCTGCTCCTTTATTTTATCTAAGGTTTTCATTTGTAAATTTTTCCTTGTAACAGTGTAAGTAGGAAGCTGTTTGTTCCATCAGACCATGACCTCAGACTTGAGTGAATGGCACCAGTAATGTCAGACTTGTCTAGGATGAATGGCACCAATGATGAGTATGGGCAGGGTATCTCACAGACATCATAATGTGCGATTACCTGATTGGGAATACTCCACTGTTTCAAAAGAATTTCAGCATATATACAGACAAACACAAGTAAAGCACATATTCTTGTTAAGCAGACCAAAATGGGAAATATGTCGACAAATTTTCGTAAAACTCCCCAATATAAAATTCATGAAAATCTGTTTAGTGATTTTAAAGTTTTTACACAAGGAGAGTTAGATACAGCATTTTGCAATATCATTCAAAACATTCACAAAAACAAACTTTTTTTCTTAACCAGGACAAATATCAACACTAATAGTAAAACTTACACACTACACTCACACTCACTCACTCACGCACGATACACACACTGCAAAAATTAATGTTAAACAGTCACTGCTTACCTGACTACCAGATTCATCATTATTCTGAGCTGGCCTTGGAGGTGAACCACTCTTACGACGAATGCCTCGGTGAATTGTCCATTTCTGAAAACATTAAAATGAAATAAATAAATATTAGTTCATTAACATTATCTATGTCCTCAGTAACTAAGACCATTACAGACATCACATTTCCTGAATATGAGTGTGGATTTTCATCTCTGGGGAGAAACAAATGTAGAAAGGTTAATTCCAACAGGTGTCACAGTTCATCACATTATTACAAAATGTTTGTATGTTGGAAGACAATGCAACCAACAAGGCATGCTCAAAGTTCGGCAGTTTTTGGCCTCAAACACCATGGCCGTCATCCCGCACCCTCCTTATTCGCCGTGTGCCTTCTTCCTCTTCCCAAAGATGAAAATTTAGCTAAAGGGAAGGAGATTTGAGACGATAGAAGAGATTGAGGCAGAATCGCAGATGGTGCTTGACAGGCTGACAAAGAAAGATTTCCAGGGATGCTTCCAGGCTTGGCAGCGGCGCTGGGATCGTTGTGTTCACTCCCAGGGGAACTACTTCGAGGGTGATGGATGAATTTAATACCTGAGATAAGTGTACGGGTTTTTATAGGTGCAGTCTTGAAACTTTCCGATCGCACCTCGTATCATTGTATGAAGGATTGTCAAATGGGGAATAGTTGATCGATCATAAACGGGAAAGTGATGATGCTCAGAGGCAGACAAATGGTAGGTTGAATAACTGCAAAGAAACTGCAGCTGACACTCTTAAGATGAATGCACAGTGAACACTTGTCGTAATGACGCTAGTAGAAGCAAACAGTCCTTGCTGACACAATACACAACATATACTTAATTAAGAGGACTGTAGTTCCAGTGATCTTTTGTTGCTAAATACTCACCATTCTGTCAGCAGATAACTTTGTGGGTTACCTCTGAAAAGTTCTAAGTGATCAGGTATTTTTTATATCAATATTGGTATACAGTAAATATCTCTCTGTATTAATTTTTAATTTACGTAAGTGTTACAATTTTATAGTTTCTGGAAGGTCTTGATGGCAGAAGCAGACCCTCTGGATGGAGGAACTTGATATAATGATAATAAATGTTTCACTTTGAAGATTTCTGTCTTCTGGGTTGTTGCGCTGTGATGAATATTCATCGCCCTGATGACGGAGGCAGTATGACCTCTGAAACGTTGGTTAACATCGACCAGACTACACAGCGCAACAACCCAGAAGACAGAAATCTTCATACTCACCGCTGTGAAAACCTCAAATCTTACATGTACAGTGACTTTACTGACAGCATTTCTGAATGCAGGTGCTGTTACATTGTTTATGAAGTTGACTGAATGAACACCAACACAATAAGTTAGATTGTCATAAATCAACAATTTCCTTATTTCAGCGCAGCTTATTTTTTTAAAAAAATGCAGCGATCAAGTACTTCTTGGTTAAATGCTGATTAATATGCACTTATAATATGAAACATAATTAACTTGAAAAACCAAATCATATTCACAAATGCCATGATTAACTTAATTTCAGAGTCTGCAACAAAAGAAGCAACAACCTTCTCATCAGAATCCGAGTCAGTGTTGGAACCTAGTTCTGATCCTCCTTCACTGCCTTCCTCACGATGGACAGCCAGTTTCCTTGCTTGTCGGTCCATCAAACTTGTTCGACTCCGTGTTTTCTTCCATGAATAATAGTACTTCACTAGACTTGCTATAGATTTGTCTGGCAGCTGAAATATATGAACATTCTAAATTAGTCAACATTAAGTTTTTAATGAAATCAGTAATCCTTCAGTTTTTAGTACTATGAATCATATTCAAAACCCTGCATTGCAAACTCTGCAGCAGTCTAACAGAACATAAGATCTAAGTTTCCAAAATAGTAAAACTTTGCATTTATAGTCTTCTGGATTATGAAATCATGTAGTCTTGCAAATGGTTACCAACACAAGATGTGTGAAAATGAAGGCAGTACGTTTATCCAAAATACTGCTTATCTGCAAAACTATGCGGTATCATAACCCAGAAGACCACAACCCAGTACAATGGAACACATGAATTAAGAAATAAGACAACTGTACAGAATCATTCAAAATGAGACTAGCAGTCTAATTCCCACTGAAATTTTCATGCAATTCACATGAACTTCCAATTATTGTAATAGCCCATTTGGACTAATCCTGGAAAGAATGATACAAATTCAGAAAATAAATGTACGTAACTGTGGAACTTAATAACAAACTACCAGCTAAAAACTTCTTAAGACTTTGATCAATGGAGTTGGTTAAGTTAGTTAAATTCATGACTACAAACAACAATAGAATGTAGTTCTTACCATTTGCCTAATCCTATGAAAGCTTTTCCCATGAAACTGAAAAGCTTGCTCAAATAAAACTTTGTCCTCAACTGTCCATTCATCTGGGAATGGAGTAAAGTTGCCAAGATCCAATATTGCCCTTTCAAGGTCATGTTTGTGCCAGAACAGCATCCCAAGTGCCTGCTCTCCATTGTAGCCATACTTCTCCTTTGCTAGTGATATATATTCATCCACTGGAACACAATATATCTCATGACAATATTGCACAAAAAGAAAATACTATTAAGTGTGTGAGTACCTCTGACACCAAAATCTCAAGAGTTCAATGCTTCAATCAAAACAAACAAAATAAGAGTAGTATGGCATACTCATTGTTTACAGTGGAATGCTTACTTCAACTAGGTTAAACAAGTTACACTTAAAAAGATAGAATAACATACAAAATAAGACCTTTACTCACATTTATAATCAGGTATATCTGTTGTTGGTGACCAAACCAGAAGAGCCCGTTCTCCACACTGTTCAGGACGACGTTCTGATATAAAAATGTAATTACTTAAACATTTGCAATATCCCAGACAATGTTTTGAGGCAATAGTGATGATAATAGTACTTCTTATAAACACTTAATATACTTATTGAACACAAGAGTTTGAAAATGAAATAAATTTTAAGAAATGGTATGTCATCCAAAATCAGTGCCATCAACTTTAACGTCCACAGCTCAAGACTGAAAGGAAAATTTACAATTTTTTTTTGAATGAAACTATTCTAAATGTTTCGTCCTTAATTGTAAGTAATTAAAGGTAGCCACTAACATAACTATTCCCTCTGAAACAACTTCTTGGGTTTTTTCCAGATATATTCTCAGTTAGCACTATCAGACTATCAATGTCTTTAGGTGATCCAGCATACACAATGTTTGTTATTAGCCCCATACAGAAATCAGAGGGTCAATGTTTTGTGCAACGAATTGCAGACTACTAACAATCAATGTGGGATTGCTTGATCATGCTGGAAAATTACCACATCCATATTTCCTTGTTCTAGTTGCAGCATGTCTAGGGATGGTGCCCCTGGTAAAAACAATGGGCTGATAAACAATTTATGAACTTAACCCATTCATTACAGACCAACATTTATTATTACTGTTGTGATGAGGTGAGACCATGTCCCAGTAAAACTGCAGCCACTAATGGGCCCACTGTACACAACTCAGATGATAGATAAGTAAATGTGGAATAGTAGTGGAATGATATTGACAAAAGAAAACTAAATAACTCGCAGAAAAACCTATCATGATGCTACTTTGTTCACCACAAGTCCCATACGGACCGACCTGGGCATGAACCTGGGACTCTATGGTGGGACCTGGAAACTAACCACCTGGCCTATAGCACAGCCATAGATCGATACTCAGGACACTTTGAACACCACATACATAACAAAACTCATGTTACCCCTGTTACATTTCCAAACTTTGCTTGCTACAGTGTATTCAACATCATCTTTGATTTTCCATTAATCACATGTTGCCTCACATGCAACAGACAAACAGGATACTAATTACTGCTTTTTTCTCACAATATACCACTTCTGTCCATACCCAAATACGTCACTTTGTATAAACAGAACATAGTGTGTTAAGAAATTCCTAACTAGTAATTTGATTGCCACACAGAATTATGGAACAGCAGTTTGGAGTGGAAGAAAAACAAAGTCTCCAAGAAATACAAAAAGTATAATACATGTTACCAAATCTCAGGTTTATGATAATGCTTACAAGTCATGTGTAATTTAAAAATACATACCTGACAGAGGTATCAGTTCAGGCACAACAGCTTGATAGTCCCTCCCAACTCTTATCTTTTCTTCTGAAACAATGTCAAATCCATATACCAGGCAAGGAACTTTACTGAACTATTATGTAGTTTATATAGTGCATCAAAATTTGAAATTAAATAAGACTGGGACTGGAAACCCAGAACAAATATTTTATTTATAATGGAATGAAAGCCATAGTTACACCAAACTCAGCACACAAAGATGGGAAAAATTGTGCTACTGAAGCATTTCACAGAAGTTCAATTTCACATCTGTTTTTGTCTTGAAATAATTTTATTACAAAGGCAGACCTCCTACTCATTCTTAACCTCGGCACTAGATTGGGGTGAGTAGTAAGTAGTCATGTTTGGCCACACTTTACCCCTGGGAAAGGACCCTGATACCCATTGGATAGGAGGCTGGGTGGGCCCCAGAGCAGGTCTTGACACAAAGACTTAAAGAAAAATCCTCTACCCCTGTCCATAGTCAGTCACTCTACTGACTGAGCTAGCCCAGCTCTGAGCAAAGATACATACTGAGCATAAAACATTGGTAACCAAATACAAGACATCATGGCATCACAATCGAAAAGACCACAATTAACGTTTTCTCAGCCATAAAACCTTATGTTTAAAAAATAAAGTTCGAAAGGACATATATCCAGAACTGCATACAATATAATAATCAATTCTGGCCATAAAATTAATTACATGGAAAACAGAACACTTCCCCCCCAGGATGGCAGAAACTCATAAACATATTTCTGAGTTATTCCCACAATTTCATTGTCTTCTCTTTCAAAATCGGGATTTTTTAAAGCATAACAAACTCTTAATAAGAAACTTTTGAGGGGTACCACAAACTTAAAAAGGCCTTTGTATTGATTTTCATTGTACTTTAGCCTAATGATAACGGATCAAATTAATCCTGTGTTAATATTGGGTTAATAAATGCATTTTACGACGGAACACAACAAATTCTTATAGTTGTATCACTTCATGCAATAAATTAAATGGGTCAATTAAATTTGTATTTCCCACATTCTCAGCCTTTAGTACTTGTAACAAGTTACACAGTATAATAAATTAAATAGACATGACCACGAGAAATCAGGTAAACTCATTCTGAGCAACGTTAATGAAAATTTTAATTTACGCAATTTTGAAATATTATACTTACCACCTTCCTCTTCGCTACTGGACTCGGATGCATGACCATTTGGGCTTGGTCCTCTGGATCTCCGTCCATTTCTAACATTATCTGAATTTCTTTCTGCTAGAACCATAGCTGACTGACCACTACACTAAAATTTATTGCAACAATTTAGTCCAAAAGAATGCTTCAATAAAACTGTAACTACTACCCATACAGTACCCAGAAACACTATGAAACTCTGATAATTTCTTTCCTTCGGAGCACCGTACAGCGTACGAGGCTGTTTTCTCTTGGTGCTGCTGATGTTCATTGTGATGCTGAGCTGGAGTATTTGATTATTCATTTGTTAAAAAGTAAATCTGTAGGCCCGTTGTAATTTTCGCCTTTACATACGAAGCCTTTTACATTTTACAGGTTTCATCTGGCCATCTTTAAATTTAATCTAATTATGCGTAGCAGTATCATTTTTAATATCTTTTAAACGCTAATAATACTTCCGTTGCAAATCAGGGGAGAAATCAATTCATTTTTGAAGATGGCTGTCATTTTCAATATACATCGAAGACTGCGAAACATATTAAAATACTCTTCAAATACTTCCTGGAAGTACATGTGTATCTACTTCGATTTGAATATAAAGAATTGTATTGCAATTTATGAAATCCCAGCTAAAAACTGTATGGGAAGTGTTAAACCCCTTTTAATATGAATATTTATGAGAATGGTACTTGTTCAACAGTACGATACATAACATGAAGCTTTGGAAACAACTTATGGAACCTAATATCATTAAAATACTCAAATCTGTACGGTGAGCCTAGCAGCAATAATTCAGAATTATTGTGAACTAAGATTCTGCATAAGTATGATTTTAAGTTTTCATGGCGGTTAGTTCGAGGATGGCTGTCTTCTGGCTCGTAGCGCCGTGTAATCTGGTAAAAGTTTATCAACTTTTCAGAGGTCCTTGCTGCCTCCACCATCAGGGCTAAACGGCGCTACAACCCAGGAGACAGCCATCTTAAAAATCTGTGGTCTTTATGAAAGTATGATGTATCTCCATCATCAGGGAGTTCAGTATCTAATAGTGACGAATATGTCAATATACGTCTTCTGGGTTATGACGTTTAAGTGACTTCAGCCCTGAATATGAAGACAGTATATTACTCTACAATGTTGGTACCCACCTAAAATCCATATGGCATTACATCCTGAAAGACCAATATTGATATCTTCGTTATGCTTACTCAGTAGACATAAACTAGGAATGGCAAACTTCTAGTATGAAAGGAAGTGTGATCTGTTACTAAAAAATTATCTATAAATTGTGTCTGTACATTTAATATTTTTGTCTATCTTTATGTATGTGTAGAACCTACGATAGTTATTTAGTTGGTATATTAGTTTTGTGCGTAATGTATTTTTTCGAATTTCTAAATTTCCTGTATAATAACTAATTTATTGATAATAAATACTTGTTTATCGATGATGCGTCTACCGAAATGGTCTTGAATGACACTTATACATTGCCATTAAACAGATCAATGAATTTTGCTATTAGTCGATATGTATATCATAAATAAAAGGGACTGATTCAATGAACTTCCTTTCCTTTGCTCACAGGTTCATAAAGAAAAACCAGCAGCAACAAAACGAGAATACCAACCATGGGAGGAATACATATGAAACATATTCTTCATTGCTAAATAATTACAATTTATTAACCACTGAAATGTTTCCTTACAGCTGTTTTGTGGTGGAAATAACTACCATTTGCATATACGCGCTATTTTTTTAAATTATGAGATGTAAAGTGACGTTGTATATATTGTGGTACTCTACAGCTCCATGAACTTTTTCAAAAGAACACATTCCATTTGGACGTAACAATGATGACGTCAAACGACGTATTGTACGGCGTCAGGAATGCGATAGGATGCAAGAATTTCTCAATATATGATTTAAGGACTATATAAAATATGTAACGCTAATGTATATAATATATGAATTTTTAACAACATAAGTCTTAAAGAAGGCAATGTTTACGTGGTTACGTAGTAAATTTGAGGACATGGAAACGATATAGAAAACATAGGAGGAAAATCGTGTTTCTTATTACATTACAGATGGCGGTGGCGTCAGTCATCCATTAGTCGTCGGACAGTACGCTTGTGCTGTGTAAAATTTGCGTGGGTATTTAGTGAAATAAACGTAGAACTTGGTATAAATTCACTTTTCCTGTGTAAAATTCCGGCTGAATATTATTTATCTATACTCCTTCAATATATTGTTATTTCTGCCACTATCCCATCATGGTAAAACTCGTGTTTCATACAAATCAAGATGTTATGGTCTCGCATGCACAAGCAGCTTGAAGAAGTACCTTTTCAGAGGATTATATTAAGGAATAAAATAAATGTGTGTATCTTAACAAATGAAGACAAGTGGTTTGTTTTCACAGATGATGACAACTAAAAGATTGTAGGGTGGTAGGTCAAAGAGCCATACAGCTTCCATTCTTGCTACTCTGGCCCAATCTGTAAGGATGAGAGTAGTTGCACTCATTAGTGGTGGAAAAGATAGTTGTTACAACATGGTCCAGTGTGTTGCTGCTGGTCATGAAATTGCAGCCTTGGCAAATCTTCGACCAGATAATAAAGGTATATTTTTCAATATTACTTTATTACTCAAGTCTTATGTCAGACCGAATAACTCTTAATTTCGTAATCACGTTAAGCACATTCATCCAATCTCTTATTGCAAGCAGATGAATTAGACAGCTATATGTACCAGACAGTCGGCCATCAAGGGGTTGAACTATATGCAGAAGCGATGGGTTTGCCATTATTTAGACAGCCAACTCAAGGTGTTGCTTTACTTCAAGACCAAGTTTACACTCCTACACCAGAAGATGAAGTTGAAGATTTGTTTCAGCTGCTCAAGAAAGTTAAAGTAAGGCATTTTTGTAAATTTATTGTTAAGGAAGCATTATTGAGATCATGCTCCAGACTGAACATGATTTGTGTCAGGTTTACTATAGTTCTCTTCTAAAGACATCAAGAAGGTGTATGCTGTCATTAAGAAAAGTTTTTTATTAACACCATGATCTGCAGAGAATGTACCGTGTATATTTAGTTAGGCAACATCACTAATATTGCAGATGATAAATATTAGGAGTAGATGTATTTTAATTGGTGTTCATAAGGTTTCATAATATGGAACATTTTATGGCAAAAAAACCTAAGCCAACCAACTAGGCTGAAGTACCACCCTTTATCAGCTGTCTGAATCTGTTTAATCAGTATATTTGCAGCTGCAATCCATATCGAGTATGTCCACAATTCAAGATCTGCCATGTTGTTGTCAGGGATCCACTTTCAAGAGACGTATGTAAATTACAAGTGTTTGAAAACAAAATACCCGATAAAATATTCAGCATTCAGACCTAAGAAGGGTAAAGTAAATGGGTAATTTAAGATATCACATAATTAGAAACTGTGTTCTGCAGGTTACATAGTATTTTTAGGATATTGAGATCTTCCAGAAGGCTGCTATGGGCCGAATGTATACCTGGGTTGGGTTGGGGGAGGGGGTGGTGCTGGTCAGATGATGACACAAATTTTGGTAGGGAAACTTCTTAGAAGACCAAGGATAGGAGTTTCGTGAAGTTTGTGGTGGAGGTTTTGCCTGACCATGTTTGTCTCCCAATTTAAACTCACGTGACTATTTTCAATGGGATATCTCATTTAAAAATCCATTCCATACAGAAAAGAAGACATGGCACTTCACTATTACAAAGATCAATTTGCTAATGCTGTTTAAGAAGATAATCCCTGTTTATACCAAGGTATATGAAACACATAAATATGAAATATAGCATTACTGAATGTTAAAGCAGATGGTATGGTACATATAGGTAGCACTCAGGTCAGTCCCTTTCAGATTTGGTTTGTACTGAATATAAACCAGATGCATTACTTCTGGATTAACCTGTTTGGTGTGTTATCTGTTAGTATGCCAGCTTCAAACATTGCTATCTGAATGAGGAGGCAGTATTCAGAGGCAGTCGACATGTAAAATTTACAAGCGGGTCTGATGATGTTTCCAGTATATGATTTGTGATTCTGTGTGAGTTACTAAAGATAAAATCCTTATTTAACGTTATATTTGGTATTTATGTACTACATTTGAATAGCTAGATTCTTTAATGAATTTATGTTCTAATCAGATAATTTTTCCCAGTGTTTTCTCTTATTCTGTAATGGGGGTTCACAGCTTTCATATCCATGCTACCCGTTTAAATATATGGTAACAGTTAATATTTTTATGCATGTTTGTGTTTACAACAGGTGCCTTGTAACCTGTATATACCTAATACAATTATTACTGTGTGTTTTCTTACATGGTATTTAGATAACTGGCAAGTTTTGGAAATATCTACTGTATTTAGTAATGCTTGTTTAAAGTGGTCTTCCAGAGATAGCAAACACTGAAAGCATGCAATTTTTAGAAACCTAAATTGAATAAATATTTTGGTTTAAGTATTGTACTTTTAGGACAAGGATTAGGCTTTATCAACTGAGAGTGAGACAAGACAGTAGCTGCAAACATACAAGAGTGTATGATCATTGTGTTACTTATTATGCAGGTTCAATGTTCTCCCACTCCCTTTGACCCTCAGATCATGTTGATGCATATGTAACTACAGGATTGTTCATGTGCTTCTGTTTACACTGACTGTCTGATTTTCATGAATGGACTATAGTTTTTTAAAAATTATATTTGCATTTATTAGAAATGCACAATGAAATGTGTAAAATGTTATGAGAATTTGTCATTTGAAAAAGACATTTCCAAAAGTTGTTGGTTATTGGTAAGAATGTCAGTTAAGATTTGGTCTTGCTAAATGAACAGGATGAAATCGATGTGGATGCTGTGGCCGTTGGAGCCATTTTATCCGATTATCAACGAATCAGGGTTGAAAATGTGTAAGTATATTTTATTAAAGGAAATTATTTCATATTGACTCCATCTTTGTGAAACAGTGGTTCTCAAAGTCAGATTATTAAAAAAAAAATTATTTGAAGTAAGAAATGATTTCATATTCTCTTGTGTTATCCATATGGTAAATAGTACAAGCCATAGTTCATGTTTATACACTGACTTAATACTAAAGGACATTTGTCTTTCAAAAATTTGTTAGTTACGGTTAGTCTAGATTGAGAATTTTTGATGTAAGTAACAATTTATATGTTGATATAAAGCATGCACTTATGGTAATCTTCATTTGAGGGATTTATGTTTTATGTAGCAAATTTTAATTTAACAGTAGATATAAGCATTAATCATGTTAACAGTTTTTAACTGTTACTCTAGAGATAAGATGCCTGTTTGAAATAGAACTTATTCAAATAATTTGAAGAGTGTTTATCAAATATAAACACATTATGTATAATGTTTTTTTCCTGTATGATGCTATTCAGGTGTGCTCGTCTTGGCCTTGTTGCCCTGGCCTATTTATGGCGCCGAGACCAAGAGGAATTACTTCAAGAAATGATAGACTGTCATATTGAGGCAGTTGTCATAAAAGTTGCAGCATTGGGACTTGATCCTTCAAAGCATCTTGGGATGACAATAGCTGATCTTCAGCCTCATATTGTGAAGCTGGTAAACATTACAATTTTAAAACATTTATAAATTGCTCAGTTCGAAACAAGTATTTCTTTATTCTTTTCTTGTGATTTGTTTCGTATTGGGCGTCTGTATTGAGGGTTTAACAGGAAGGAATCCTGAGGGTGTTTTTCCTTGACATAAAAAAATTCCTTTACAGAAAGAAAAATACGGATTAAATATATGTGGCGAAGGTGGAGAGTATGAAACATTTACTCTCGATTGTCCATTGTTTATCAAGACTATTGTCATGTAAGTATGGTCCTCCCCAAGCCCATACATATAATAGTGAAATAACATTAATACTTATATTAATAATATTTATAAGTAAAAGCCCTCAAAATGTGTTATTTTCGTATCTTAAAGAAAAATTAAGAAATATAACATACATTTTATAAATATCCAATTTCAGAGATGAATATGAGACAGTGATCCATTCTAATGATGCTATTGCTCCAGTGGGTTATCTGAACTTCAAAGGTCTTCGACTTCTTGAGAAAGAGGTAAGCATCACATTAGCCCCCCCCCCCAAACTACATTAAATTGATTTCTGGGATTACACAAATTCGAGTATAATCATCTGCTGAAAATAGTTTTCCCTGACAGTTATTGACCACATCTGAGGCTAGATCAACCACTGGGCTTTCTGATCTTCTCCTGCCCTTTTACTTGAAGACTGAAGCAGAATCCAGCTTCCAAAATATTTAGTTTTATGACTTTATAATTTAGATAATTGACAGAGTCCAAAAGAAGAGTTTTACATATTCCAAAGTGTATTGCATGGATTTTATGGATGTACCATCACAAGTTTACCACAGGTAGCAGGTTACTTGAAGTTAAGGTAAGTGTCCCTGAACATAAACATCATACCATGAAGGTATATGGAGTGGAAAAAAAAGTTCCACATTTTTAACTGGGGATCAAGTAATCAACTTCATGGGCTGACCATTTTGCCTCTTCTACCCATTGATATGTTAGCTCAATCACTTAACTGAGAAGTGTTGTCCAGCAGAGAAGTCTTTGGCATTGTCATTACTTCTGACAGTGAAAAAGAGTGACAGAAGTAATATTTGTATTAATGTATTATTAATATAATTGTAATACTCTTATACTTCTTTTCCTGTGGTTCATTAGAATGTAAATCCTCTGAGCAGCATGTCAGAACGGATCTGCAACATCCCTGTCAAAACTTGGCTTGATCTTATCAGTGATCTTAATGAATGTGTAACTGAAGGCAAACTAGTGGATCATGGGGAAATGGATGAGGATTCAGTGGAGGAACCTCTACCTCCATTTAATCCGAGCAGTCCTCCTCATACACCAGAAAATCATTCCTATTTGTTGGAAGAATCATGTCTAGAAGCAGGACTTGCAACTCAAGTAGCATGGGAAGACACTCCACTACCAGCTGTCACAACATCAAAATGTAATGAATCAGGATGGTGCTGGATTGGTGGTGTGATTGGTGAAGGAGAAGACTGTGTTTTAGCAACAAGGCAAGCGCTTCGCAAACTTAATAGTAGGTACCTATGGGTTTCTTGTCTCTTAATGTTGTTATTCATATCACACCTAATACAAGAAGCAAGATATCAATATGCAATCTGCACATGTCATCCATCATGCTTGACTTTATAGCAGCTAGGAAAACAATACTGGTATGTGATGGATTATGTGGTCACATTGGCCATGCAGTCTAAGGCATGGGCATTGTGCGCTTGGACACTGGGACTGTGGGTTTGAATCTCACTCAAGGCATGGATGTTTGTCTGCGTCTTTCTGTGTTGTGCTGTCCTGTGTACAGGTAGAGGCCTTGTGATGGGCTGATCACTCGTCCAAGGAGTCTAGTGAGGCAAAATTATAAGGAAATAATTATAGAGTCTTAGAATATTAAGAGATTATTATCACTAATGTTCAGATTACAGGACAGACTAAAGTAGCCAGTGGTATGAACTGATAATTGTAATGTTAATTATGTCATTAGTAGACGCTAACATTTAAGCAACAAGTTATGTACGATGAAAGTGCTTGAACATTTGTAAGTTCACATTTCTGGAATTGTATGTAAGTAGGAGAATGAAATAAAACTGATTTTGGTTTTTACCATTGAATCAACATATGGGAGGCACATTGTTTAGGGAGTGTCTAAATTTCACAGGTGTGGAAAGATGCATATTACTTGTTTGCTCTAAAATTAAATTTTCCTTTAATCTCAGATAAGTAAGGTAAGCTTCATACAAATAAAGATTATTTACTTTCTATCTTACATAACACTGACACTTCAGAAAATAATTTTGTTATCCCAGCAGCAATAAAAATACTGAACATAGCATTGCTGTTATCTTATCTGAAGTTTTCAAGGCCTGCCACAATAAACACGTTTACCATGTAAACTGACCTGCAAAGGCAAATTTCTCACATCTTATCATGTCAAAAATAAATGCACAATAAAATATTTATCCCATTTAATTCTATGTCTGTATCTGAGACATTTATATTGGTGATGCTGTCTTTTAGGGTTGTGATGTCACATAGACTCACAGGTATGAATCTTATAGGAGTAAACATAACGTCCATCTTCAGGGCATCACAGAAGAATAACAATGTCATCATCATTACCATGAAAATCTCAAATCTCACACATTTATACTGATTATTATTTAGTAAAATATATAGAAAACATTATTTAAGCTTAATTAATTAATTTATGGAGAGCATTGCTGATAGTTTGTAATTAATGGACATGAAATCCACACAATATCCCATATTTTAAGAATGCATGAAAGCTGCTGTTTTAATTTATATTTCAAGAATTAGATATGTTTACTTTAATCAAAATTAACTAATCTCTCTTCTTCACTAATGTGAACTGCAGAGTAATTATCTGGTTAGATAATGTTTAGCATAAGGTGTTTATACTATTCAAAATGCATTCTTTTACTGTGATTTGCTTTTCATAGAATTACTAATTCTTGCAGATCTATGACTTCTTAATGTAGGATGTACATGTTTGTGTGGTAGTCATAGTTTACCAAATGGGGACTAGCACTTTCAACCCTATTTCAGTAGAAACAGTTCACTGTACATTGATTTCCACTTAATAGTCTTACAGGTTGTGGTTGCATGTTAAATGACCTTTGTAATAACCAGAAATTCTGTTTGCTTCCAGCCATTGTAACAAACCAACTGTTAACAATTGGAGACTTAGTGGCAGTATCATTATATGTTCGTGACATGCGTCATTACACTGCCATAAACTCAGAGTACCTGAAACTTTTTCGTGGGAGCAATCCACCTGTTCGGATCTGTGTGGAGGCACCTTTGCCTCCTAGCACACCTATTTTGCTGGAAGTTCTAGGCTATCGAACAGCTCCCCAACAAGGTGACGACCAGAGCATCCCAAGTTGTACAAGACGTACTATGCATGTTCAGGGTGTGTCTCATTGGGCCCCAGCAAACATTGGACCTTATAGCCAAGCAGTGAGGGTAAGAATAATCTGGACAGTATATATTTGTCAGACATTTCAGACAGTAGACTGGTTGGGATGGTTGTTCAGTACAAAAGCCAAGTTGGGAATATAGATTGCAGTTGGTTCTTCAGTTAAATTTCCTGTATGAAAGTAGTAGGTTTAAAGTCAGAAATCATGTTCTCATAAATTATCTTACAGCATAACTCATACTCAGCATTAAACACTAATCTGTAAAAATTATCTGAACAAAAGTTTTTATGATGATAATGCAATATTATTCTGATTAAACAAAGCAATGAAACTCTGGTTTTTAAGTTAGCAAATTTGTTTCTTGAAATATAGTCAGACAGAATTCTTATTATAATAGGGCACGTTTATGACTACATATGTGTTATGATGATAGAATGTCCTGTTTTACAAGTGCTGCTATGACAGCATTTAGAAGTACTTCCAAAGCAAAGGAAGAAAGAGGTTAAAGGATGAAGAAATGAACAAAATCATTCCCCACTGAATTTCAGTGGGCTTTCCCACTAGTTTTTATTAAAGAGCATACTATGCACATACAAGGCCAATGAGTGTAAAACTGCTTGCCATCACAACTGACCGCATTAAATTTCAATTTGTGGCTGATGGGAGAATTCCATTCACAACATTGTGGCCCATATTATTGAAGTTTGCACCCCTCCCTCCAAATATATACTCTAAAACTGGGTTAAATATACCACACTGTTTGGTAATACATAGGTAATCTGCCAAATGGCATGGCTGAGGGGTTAGCACTACTGCTTTATATTTGGAAGATCCCAGGTTGAATTCTTTGCCTGGAGACCAACTATCCTCACTGAAATTTTTTGTGGTTTTCCTTGACCTCTTCAGGTAATTGCCAGGATAGTTCCTTAAATTAGGCTATAACTGCTTCCTTACATATCCTTTCAAACTTATTATTCATTAATCATTCTTTCATTTGCCACAGAATAGTCTGACCTACTGACAGACCACAAATAAATTAATATAAGGAATTAACTAAGTCTGATTTTGGATGTGATGCATGTCAAAATTCCATAAAATAACAATTTAAGTGTGTTTTTATAAGCATGAAGGAATTCCTCTAGGTTGGAGACATAATATATGTGGCTGGCCAAATTGCTTTGGTTCCTGGGACAATGCAGTTGGTGGAAGGAGGAGTTAGGAAGCAGTGTCGGTTGGCCTTGCGCCATGTTGGCAGAATTATAAAGGCCATGGATCCAAATACCCAACTCAGGGATGTTGTACAGGTATGTCTTATGGCAATATTAAAATAATAGTAAAGAAATAGGGTAGTAGGGTGTGGTCTGGAGTCCTGTGGTTTAAGACATTAATGGCATACTCATGTGAACATGGTCATTAATCTTTGGCTTCTATAAAAGATGGGGATTTCCTTAGAAGCTTTTGTTACCACTTAATGTTGCCTGGTGTAGGGCTTTCCATGCAAAATCTGAAATATTTTACAGTTGTTACCACTAATGTAAAGCCAGTTGAATTTAATTTAATCTTAAAATAGTCTATGATTATCATTATATATATATATATATATATATATATATAACATGTG